TGGCTCCAGCTGACCTAACAGCACGGTGGTGCCCGAAGGCCCAGCAAGCAGCCCGCTGGGGACACAGGGCGACCGCCCCGCAGCCAGCGCTCCTGTCTCACCACTTGCTGCCTTTATTTCCGGCTCCCTGCCTGCCCACCGCAGCTTGGCCCCATGCTGGGAGGGACAGGAGCCCGGCGGGCTAAAGGGCTTGTTTGGACACCACGGCACAGAAGCTGAAAGCTGGCTGTAAGGTGGCTAGAGACACGGCTGGACTCCTGGGTCTGCCTCCTGACAGGTCATCATCCAGCAGCAGAGACACGGGCTGGCCCCCAAGCCAGCTCACGAGTTCACAGGAAAATTACACCAGCTTTACAACAGGTAACTGAGCCAGCAAATGAGTTTGAAAGACAGACAATACCGGTTTTGGCATAAAGCCTGCATATTTACCAGTCTTTTAAGCCAGTTTAAGCTAAGCCACATTACACCAAACATTAGTGTTCTTCAGCCGTGTCACTTCTGATCCAGTCCCAGGTACCCCAAACCAACTCCGAACTTCAGTTCAGAGCCTGGGGGGCTATTCCCCTTGCAAAGAGGGGTTTGAAGGGGTTGAGGAGTGACAGGGGCCCACATCCACTCCGTTCTGCCCTCTGGAAGCGCAGTCTGCAGGGAGCACCCCCAAGACCGAGTCCTGGCAGCGACACCAGGACAGCCGAGCTGCCTTGGTGTGCTCAGGCCACACACGGCCGCAGCACCGGCTGTGTAGTCACAGCAAGATGAACTGCTGTCTTGGCACACGACAACTGCTTGGACAAGCGAGACTCCATTAGCAAATTAATTTTTAACTTTGTGTTTGTCTGTTGCGACAACTGAAGGAGAAGAGCCCTTGGCAGCCAGAGCTTCACTTGCGTCTCCTCAGAAGCGAGCCAGCCCCAGCCTGCCCAGGTGCGGGCAGCGCAAGGGAGCTGTGCCTCCCTGGCAGAGGAGCTCTGTCACCACAAGGTCTGGGAGAAGATACGCAACCAAGCAGGGATAACGGCTGCTTATTTAACTCCACCAGTACAAGGCTCAGGAAGCACAGCACAGTAGGAATGGTCCATCTTGAACACCTCCAGCACTCCAGAAGGCTGAGCTTTGGAGCACACCCCAATGCTGTACAAACAGATGTCAGATGAGAATCCCTGGGAGCATTAGCAAACCTCTTAAAGCCAGTAGAGACAGCCACAAACGGCAGTGCATCCCCCCAGCAATGGGCTGGTGGGCTGAGCAGGCCGGGGGGCAGGGAGTTAACAGCAGCGTTCTCCCATCTCTGTGGTTCTCTAATACAATTAGAGGCCGTAGAGGCTTGGCTGGACCTCTGCCCGTAACCAATTACCCTGTGGCAGGCTCCAGCACTCACGCCCGTGTCCCGCCGCGTGGCCGTCTCCAGCAGTTCT